ACTGCTCAGCCAGGTAATCGACTTCATTGTAAGTGAGAGGGTTTATATCCATACTCAGCATCTTGAAGGTTGTCAGTCAAACCTTTGCCAGAGCTGAAGAGGGCTTCCCAGCCTTTGGACAGTCTGGTTGTGTTTTAGGGGGAAGCCTTAAGCTTGCCCTCTAGTGGTTAAACGCTCTGTTAAAGGAACCTTTATTTGTTTTCATAATAGACTTGTCTTTTTATTTCTTGCTGTAGATTTGGCCTGGCACCTGGGCACCTCACATTGGAAACATGCATCTCAAGTACGTCAACTGATTTAAGGGGGTCTATCCTTTTTTAGCCTTGTTTGGGAATCTTTACGGTCTTGAAGAACCCTGGGGATTTTTTTAATGTGCCTAACTAAGCAATTTTCTGTGGGCTGTAACAATGGAAACTTGATTGCCCGTTGTATAAGAACAAATTGATTTACCTGTACAAACTGATTCTGCTCTCCAGTTAGTTTAGCCATTTTGAACTTAAAAATCAGACAAAACTAGTGCTTTTGGCTAAACACTACTGAATGCTCCTTGTATGCAGCAGAGAACTAGCTGATTACATGATTTCAACCTTTTAGGGTGGTAAATACATGTATAATTGTTTACATACTTAAAAGGAAAAGCTGAGTAAATTTCATGTCGTATAGTGGCTCTACTTTATGTAGCCTGTATTAATGTGAAATATTTACCTGAATATTCAATAAAAGGCAAACAGTATTTATAGGTTGTGTGTGAGAATTTTGGAAGAGGCTGTATGTTGTTGTCATCAGTAGCTGCTGCCGTGCCCAGTGATGCATCTTTTCAGGGTCACGTAATTAGCAGGTGGATGCAGTCAGGGTTTGGGGGAGGGTTTTGATCTGCAGTCATCTGTGATACAAGGTCTGCCGAGTCCTTCCCCCTGCCAGTTGTTTTGTGTGAACATGGTTGTGCGTTGTTTTGGGTTTTTTTCCTGCTGGATTGGTTCTGCTGCTTCCAGCACTCTTTTTCCAGGTGGGTTGCCTGAGACATCAGGTTTGGTTCAGGGGTTGGAAATAAGGGCTGAGCTGACAATGTGGCAACTGATGGCACCTTAATTTGTGGAAGGTAAATAGGTAGCTTGTAGGTAAATGCAGGGTTTCTTCACCTGACTTGCTGTGACCAGCTGCCTAGAAGCAGATCTTAGGAAAGCAGAGACCACTTCCCACTAGAGAAAAATGTATTATATTAAATTCGAAGCTTCTTGTTACCCTTTAAATCTGGTAAGAGCTCCTCAAGTCCCTTCTGTGAGGAGGAAGGAGATTTTTGCATACTGCTTAAGATGAACATTCATTTTCTATACAGGTGCAGAAGTTCTCCACTTTCTGCACTTGGACTATGCTTATTTCTGCTTTTGCTCAGTGGTGATGCAGTAACTACACTGAATATTTGGTCCATTCCTCAAGCAGGTAACTACATACAGGGCATGTAGTGTCCAATCTAACAGACCACTTTTGGTGGTCTCTTGGACCAGATGGAGACTCCTCCACCTTCTCCAGACAAATCCTTACATGCAGCAGCAGCAGAGTTTCCCCAGGAAAAGCATGAGGAAGGAGTACTGAAAACCCAAAGTGCACAAGCAATATCTGAGTACTGCAGGCAGATAAACCTCAGAAATGCTACTGGATGATATATTCAGATATTTTTTTCTAGTATTTGAGGAAGAAATGCAAAAAACATTGAACTGCTGCTGCCTGCCTGATAGTGAAATGCCAAAGGAGAAACACTCGTGTTAACAGTACTTGTATTGAAAACAAAATGGTATTGTAGTGCAATAGGTGTTTGCTCTTGGGGTGAGTTGCAGGGGGGGGGGCTAAGGGCCCGCCCCTCCCCTACCCCACCCCTGTGGGCTCCATGGCCGCAACAGGCACCACCACCCTCTCCTGCCCCATCCCGGGGAGCCACCATCTCCTCATCCCGGAGGGCTACAGCTCCACGCCAGGTGGCACAGTCTACTGTACCACGCCAGGGGGTAAGACCCAGCATGGGGATGGGCTTGTCCATTGAATGGAACGGTGGCCTCAGCCACCCCATCCCTGCCTAGTTTAGGCAGCTCCTTCCTGAGTGGGTCTCTTCCTGGGCTCTCCACCTTGCAGCTTGGTCCCTGGGAGCACAGGCACCTGCTCTGGGCATCACATCCAGGCAGGCCCACGGGGTGGTGGCTTCCCTGGCAGCCCAGAGCTGGAGTGGAAAAGGGAACCCCAAAGCTTTGTGGCAAGATACTGCTAGAAGTTAGGGCCGTCATTGCCCCGTGATACGGAGGGGAGCAGGCGGAAGCAGTGCCTGGTGCTTGTGATGCTGGGGTGGTGGATGCAGCGCTGGTCCTTTGGGGGCAGGTCATGCCTGGGCACGGCTGGCTGGAGCTGGTGCAGGTGCAGGGGGCTAGTGCAAGAAGTCTGCTCCCACCTGAGTTCACCAGCCCTGGGGGAAGGTACTGGGCAGCACGGCTCCCTCCAGAGGTACCCTAGGCCTGTCCTCTTGCCCCCCTTCCAGCCCCCTGCCAAAGCCCCTGGTTCAGCTGTGGAGCAGGTCCTTTGCTGGCTGCCCTCAGGGTAGCGTGTGCCCTGGGCATGTTTTGGTTGAGCCGCAGGCACCCACCCTGTGGGCGCTGGCTCCATTGTGTGCCTCCGATGAGCTTATCTGGGGTGGGGGAGCCTGGCCCGGTGATGGCAGGGCTGTGGCAGGCATGGGTTGCATAATGTGTTTGTGGTGCTGGGAAGGGCCTGGCCTGTGCAGGAGCTTTGGGCTCGCTGCCGCCTGGGCTGTGCTCGCTGCTGGAGCCTGGCAGGGAACCGCTGCTTAGCTGCAGAGACAGCCAGGCAGGGGAAGGCAGGCCCGGACCTGTTGCAGCAGGGTGCAGACTGGCACGATCTTGGGGATCGCTAGCAGGCGCTTGGGGAGGCAGCGTGTGCCCTGGCTGGGCGCTGACCTGGGGCTGTACACCCAGCAGGCTGGCACACTAGAGGAGGTGTCCCATCGAAGCCAGCATGTTGTTCTCATGCAGGGCACAGCCGGGCAGCTCATCGGCTGAGCTGATGGGAACAGTTCCCTGGGTACATCTCCCCTCGGTGCCAATGGGGAGGTACCCAGCTTTTGCTGTTCTGATAGCTGTAGGGAGCCACCCCTGAGCTTGCTGCCTCTGGGCTGGCTGCACTGGGGACCTGCCTGCTACCTGGCCGTTGGGCTTGGGCTGTGCGCCGAGTGCCCCAGGGCTGGCCCTGCCTTCCAGGCAGCACAGGGGTGGCTGTGGTGTCAGCTGCTGCAGGGCACCTCGTCAAGGCTGGACCTGCCGTGCTGTGCCCTGGCAGAGCTCCAGGAGCTTCAAGGGGAGGAACAATGTGGGGAAGAGCTGCTGGGCAGGACAGGTGTCACAGTCTGCCATGTGGGAAGCTCCACAGTGTCCCTGAGCTGTGGCCAAGTGCTGGGTTCCACCCCCTGCTCCAGGCTCAGGCCATGGTGTTCGGAGACGGGGGCGGCCAGGGGCCGGCAGTGCCTGACAGCCCCCTGCTTTTGGCAGGTACCCGCATCATCTACGACCGCAAGTTCCTGCTGGAGTGCAAGAATTCGCCCGTGGCCAGGACCCCTCCTTGCTGCCTGCCCCAGATCCCCGGTGTCACATCCCTGGCCCAGTCCAGCCTCGTCAAGCTGGAGGAGCTCAAGGAGCGGAATGAGAGCGAAGAAGCCATGCCAGGTGAGCAGCCCAGGCAGGCAGCCCCTTGCCTACATGCTGCCTGGGGCATGGGGCTCCCACCTGGCTGCAAGGGCAAGGGGAGATCCCGGCTCAGCCCCAGTTCCTTTGCCTGTACGTTTCTCCCAAGGTAGCCCCATCCTAACCCTGGCCCTGTATCCCTCCATACCCTTGCAGATCAAGACCAGTTTGAGATGGACATCTGAGTTTCCAGCTCCCCGTCTCCAGGCCATGGCTGGGCCTGTTTCTGGGCCTCGTGGAGTTGCTGGCACTGTGACCAGCTGGCTGCAGCCCTCTCTGATGCTGGGGATGGATGTGTGACACCTCAGGCTCTAGCACAACTGGCTGGTGCAATTGCCTAGGAGCTCATGCTTGATCAATAAACACCATGAACCCCCTGTGCTGACCAGGTGCATCTCTTATGTTGGGGCTCAGCTGGGTCCTCAGAGCCCCAGGGAGGGGAGCTAAAAGGAGCTGAGGAGCACCAGGGGCCCTTAGAGGGTGCAGAGGATCTCTCCCTCCTGCACTGGGATGCTGGAGGCTGGGGCGGTGAATGCAGGGCCTCAAGGCCTGCTCCAAGGCTTGGGGTGCGACATGCAGCCTGCCCCAGCTGTGGGGGGGCATGGCTGGTGAGGCCCTCCTGTGAATGTGGGAAGGAGCAGCACAGAGCAGTCCGATTGCTGTCTGGGGTAAGCGTAACCACACTGGCCTTACCTGACCTGCTGAGCTTCACTAGCACCGTGACATTTCTCCCTGGATCTCCCTGTCTCTGAGGCCACCTGGGTCTCTTGGGTCCCAAACTCGGCTCTGAACTGTGCCAGGACAGGCAGGAGCCCAGATGGGAGCATGGGCTGCAGCTGCAGCACAAACCCTGGCCCTGCCACGCTGCTCTGGGCTGGTGGCAGGTTGGCCTCCCCAGCCAGCCAAGAACTCCTCAGGGGCCTGTCTCTTGCTACACAGGAGCTGGGCCGTGTGCCTGCTGCTGTGGGTTCCCCCCCAGTGCCAAAGACAAGGCCGGAGGGGCCCAGGCTCTGCCAACCGGTGTAGCAGGGAAATGCGTTGCTGTCCCCTCGACCCTGGTGATGCTGGGGCTGCTGCCAGGGAGCTACCTTCCCTTCATGCTCGGCGGCCTGGGAACGCCCCGCCAGGGCCAGAGCCCCTTGGCCAAGCCCAAAGCTGCTGCGGCCTTGCCCAGCCATCCCATCTCCTGCTGCTCCTGGGAGAGAACTAGGACCCATCTGGTGCCAGAACTCCAGAGCAGGCTGCGGCCAGGGGCAGGTTAGTGCTGTTTTATTAAACGTCATGAAGTGAATCGCCACTAAAATGTCACAATGATTAAAATCCCCTTTTCCTGGGTGAGGATTGGGAGGCAGAGGAGGTGCCCAGACCCACTCAGGCAGCAGGGGCCCTTCTCCTGTCGGTGGCCCCAGGCCTGGGCTGCTGCGCTCACGGTCTGCAGCCCCGTCCCCGGCATCAGGGATCCTCCTGGCCAGGCCCGTCCTTGGCGCTGCCGTCCGTCGCCGCAGCCGACTCTGCAGCAGGCAGGCTCCTCGTCTCGGCGATCAGGCGCTTGACGCCCACCAGCCACTGGCTCACCTCGTTCACGTGGTCCACCATGAGCGAGCGATGGATCTCATCAGCCGCGTCCCAGTGCTGTTGCTGCAGCTCTGCCAGGACAGCGGAACCCCGCGGTGGCAGGGGCTCAGCCTTCCCGCCGGTGCTCCCTTGCCCGACGGCCTGGCGCCGGCCCCCAGGCAGCCCCCCCCCTCCCCCTCGTCCCTCACCTCGCACCAGGAGGCCCATCCTCTTCCTCACCGGGGCCGACAGCTTCCCCTGAGCCCAGGCGTCCCCCAGCACCGTCAGCCGCCGCCCGATGTCGTCGCACACTTGTTTCTGGAAGCAGAGCCGTGAGCTGGAGCTGCGGGGAGCCCCCCGGGGGCCAGGGGCGGCTCTCCTCGCCCCACGAGAGGCAGCCCCCGCCTTGCTGCCCCTCCCGCGCCCGCGGCAGAGCTGGCGGCGGCGGCCGGGGCCTCACCTGCACCGTGGGGCGGCAG